AGTTTATCATTTGAGCCGTGATTACTTCATTAGGGCTGCACATAATCAATCCCAACTGGGATAATAGATCTCTGCCCCAGAGATTAATGGGAAGGCCTGGGATGACATAGGGTTGTATATTCCCTGTATTTCCTTCTTTATCTTTCCATGTCAGCACCTTAGAGCTTCGTTGTGGATTTTGGCTTTGGCCAATACCCCTTAAATTGGTTAAGGTTGGGGTCAGAGGCCAGGTGGCAGGCCAATCGCTTTGTTTGATAATTGTCACATCAGCTCCTGTATCAACTAAACCTTGGAATGCCTCCCCATTGAGCAATATTGTCATCATAGGTTTTTGTTTAACTATAGGCTGTGCCCAGTATGCATCAGAGGAATCAAAGCCTTGATCCCCTCTCTTAGGACTCTTATATTTGTGATTAGTAGGGATCAATGGAAGTAACAATAGTTGAGCTATCCTCCTTCCTGTAGGAATAGTGACTATATTCTGTATTGCCTTGGCTATTGCCTTAATCTCACCTTGATAATCACTGTCTATAACTCCAGGAAAAATTTGTAGTCCCTGCATAGTAGCACTGCTTCTTCCCACTATCAGGCCAAACACATTTGGATAGAGTGGTCCAAACACTCCAGTGGGTAAGGCCTGAGGTCCCATTTCTGGGGTTAATACTGTGTGGGTGGCAGAACTGAGGTCCAGTCCTGCACTTCCTGGTGTTGCTCAACTAAGTTCAGAAAGGGGTTGTTGCTTGCTGGTATGAAAATGACTGCCCCATAAGCCTGTTTTGGCTTGTGTTGGTTCGGGTCCTGGGGCTGGCCCCTGTTCCCGTTTCCCTGATTATGGGAAAGGGTGTTTCCTTGTGCATCTGTCTTGGACCTACATTCACTAGCCCAGTGCCTTCCACGTTTGCAATGTGGGCATAGGCCAGGCTGTTTTCTAGGCTGTCTCTGGGTTAACTCATTCTCTGCCTTGCAATCTTTTACAAAGTGTCCAGGCTTGCCACATTTAAAACAGGCCTTTTTGTCTCTGCTTGCCAAAAAATCTCTTACTGATTGTCCTTGTATGGCAGCTGCCATAGCTAAGCCTTGTTGGTAAGAGGGCCCTATGTCAGAACAGAGTCTGATATACCCAGTAAGGTCTGTCTGTTTTCCTATAGGGTCTAATGGCTGCTTGGCAAGTAGGATTGGCATTTTCACATGCAAGTTGTTTCACATAATCTACACCTGCCTCTGCATTACCAAAAATCCTTCCTGCTGTTGTCATTAATCAATGAACAAAATCAGAAAATCGTTCATCAGGCCCTTGTCTGACTGAGGTCAAAGATGCACCAGGGTCTCCCTTTACCAGGAGTTTGTGCCAAGCCTTCATGGCTGCATTTTGAATTTGAGCGAATAAGCCTGGGTCATATTGCATCTGGTTATCACTAGAAGCAAATTGCCCTTCTCCTACTAAGGCTTCAAAGGACCAACCATTGTCTGCCTGAATGTTTCTCCTAGCTGTCTCTTTACAATTCTCGTGATACTCTGATTTCCAAATAAGATAGTCACCACCACTAAGAACTGCTCTCACTAGAGTATTCCAGTCACCAGGAGTCAGCCACTCCTCTGCAACAGATTCTAAGATTGCAAGAGTAAAGGGAGCAGTGGCACCATATTGTGCCACCGAATTTTTTAATTCTTTAATAATTTGAAAATTAAACCCTGTGTGATGTCTCCACGCAACCCCTTGAGCATCTCTAGTCTCTGATACAGGGAAAACCTCAGCCTCTCCCTCCTCTGGCTGACCTGTGGCTGAACTAAAACCAGAGGACAGGGGCTGCCTTTGGACTCCGGGTTGAGGAACACAAGGACCTGGGCGATTTTCACAATTAGCCTCGCCCTCTCAAGACATCTTCCCTGTCCTTAATTTTTGTAACTGATTAATTAAGTCCCGATACTCTTTCTCTAATTCTATTTGCTGTTTAAGAAAAGAAATTTTGTCCTGCAACTCCTTTCTGTGGTCTACAACCGCCATCTCCATAGCAGGAGCATCTGGAGGTGGAGGAGCAGAGGGAGGGGGTCTTTGGGAAGAAGGCCATTCAGGGTCATAATTTTTGGCTGCCTCTTCCTCTCTGTCAGCACAATCTGGCTCTGACAAATCGATTACTTCAACCTTTGGTCCTATTTTGGATTCTATGCTTTTCTTTTTCTTTTGAACATGAAAGACAGCATTTAAACAGTGAAACAAAAGCAGACAATTGTCACACGCAAACAGCAAACAACAAAACAAAAACAGAGAGTTGAGTTCCGGCTGACTTATTTCCTGCCCCATTATCATTACTATGACCTACTGGTCTCCACATGGCTGCCTGGGGCTGCCGCAGTCACCTCTGTTTCACTTCTGAAGTTTCAGTCGACTCTTCTTCCGGTAACGTCCCTCACTGGGCCTCTCGTTCTTGCTGCCTCAAGTTGAGCGCCACTTTTTAGCTGCCCGAGCTGCCTCAAGTTGGGGGGGGGGGGCACTTTGTAGCTGCCCGTTCTGCTGCTCCGGTCCATGGGTCAGGGCCTAGCAAGAGAGAGAGTGGGAACGGAGATGGGAAGAATGGAGACAAGACAGGGAGTCTGATCAAGTCTCCTTTATTGGAAGGAAATCCTGGGTATTTATACCTTTTACCACGTGCCTTGCCCTCGTGGACAAGCACAGCTGAAGGCACTACGTCACGTGCCTTGCAGCGTGGATATCACGTGCGCCTAGCTAGCAGTGAGGGGACCACGTGCGCCTTGCAGCTGGCGGCACTAAACAGCAAAAGAAGATATGTGAGAAAAACAAGATATTTATCAGAGTGTGCTCAGTTGTTGTAGGCTGTTGAAAACAAGTCTCTTGTCAGGGTATATAGCCTGAGATGGCTGCAAAGATGATAGCTGCTTTCGGCTAGGAGTCGGCTCCCAACAGTTTTCCACTTAGGATGGACAAGCAAGAAGATAAGAGAGACTGCGAAGGGACTGGTAGAGCACAAAAAAGTTAACTTCAAGAACAGGGAGAGGAAGCCTTAAGAGAATGATGGATGGCTACATTAAAAAAAAAATAAGTGAATTACACAAAATTCTACACAGCAGAGGGCATGAGGTAGAGAGAGCACCACGCATCAACATGGATAATCTAGCAAAGAGAATGGTTAACTAGGAAACAATTGCTAGAGGGTCATGTACAATGGCAGAAATATTAAGACATCCATGCAGGGAGGCACAGCAAACTCGAGACAGTTGTCTCGGTGTGGAGGAAGACTGTAGTTGTGATGGAGAGAATGGCTCTACAGGGTTCCCCACAGAGATGGTGACGTTTCCTCCCAAGCTAGTTGGTGGATAAATGAACTCACTATTTTAATTTAAATACTGTACAAAAAGTCACTGTCCATAGCTAGGAAATCGTAGTGGAGTGTTAGCCACAATCCTCATCATCCATCCAAAAGAAACAAAAGCCA